GTGGCTGGCGCCTTAGCCGGTTGAGCTATAGGCACCGAGCCGTCTACATACTTCTCTGCATTCTTTTTAAGAATTGAATAATTTTTTTTTAAGAGAGTCTCACTTTAACACCCTTGGTAGAGTGCCATAGTGTCATAGTTCACAGAAACCTCAAACTCTTAGGCTCAATGATTCTCTTACCTCAGCCTCCCTAGGTTTTGCTCTTGCTCAGGCTGGTCACAGCCTCCAAAGTAGCTGGGACTACAGGTACTCACCACAATGTTTGGCTATTTTTAGTAGAGATGGGGTCTTGGTTTTGCTCAGGCTGGTCTCAAACCCCTGAGCTCAAGGAATCCACCCCCCTCTGCCTCCCAGAATGCCACAATCACAGGTATGAACCACTGCACACAGCCCTAGAGCCTCTAGACTCTTGATCTGTTCCATCTAAGATAATAGCTACAAAACTTGCATGGCTATAAACATTTAAATGAATTAAAATTAAATGTATAATTTAGTTCTTCAGTCACACTTGACATATTTTGAGGGCTTAACAGTTCCATGCGGCTTGGGCTATCATATTGGACAGTGCAGAAAAGATCATTTGTCCTTATTACAGAAAGTTCTATTGTCCAGTGCTATAAAAATTGACCCACTCCTGGCAGTAAACCAAGCTAAGAGGTGAGAGGGGCAGCAGGTGGGGACACAGGCACAGGGACAAGGAGACACTTGGGAGACAGAACTGGTCCCAGGAGCAAGGAAGCCCCCTGTAACTGGAGTCACCAGGGCCAGGTCTGAAGTGGGCACCCCCACCCCTGGGCACCTGCAGGTAAAGCACGAAGGTGAGCCGCTCCAGGTATTTGGAGTTCTCTGGCTCAACTGAACAGGCCTTTCGCAGGTTCTGAGCGGCCGAGGAGAAGTCACAGAGCTGGATGTAGGCCTCAGCCCGCAAGGCATAGAAGTTTATCTGAGGGTGAGAGGACATGGCTGCTGCCCTGTCCTCACCACCTACCCCTTAGAGTAGGGAGAGGACTTTGCTTTCTTGAGGCATGACATCCAGTTCCCACCAAGTAGGTGGCCCTGAGAGGAGGGGCCTTGTATGTACAACAGGGAAGGGGAAAGTGTGTACTGGCAACTGCCTGTGCCCACCCAGGCCTGCCCCTCACCAGCTGGGGATCCAGGTGGAGGGCTCGGGAGAAGAACAGCACGGCCATCTCCCAGTCCGCTTTCTGCAAACACAGCTGGCCTTGGTGGTAGCTATGGGGATGGGGGGGTACAGGTAGAGGGGCTAGCCCTGACTTTGGACCAGCTTAGGCATATGGCTAGGGTGAGCGGAGGGGGAGAATTGCAGGGAGAGACAAGATGGGTAGACGGAGACCAGAGAGGCCATCAGCCTTTTATCCAAGGTAGAAGGGCCCCATTACACAGTTGAATTTACTAAGGACCAGAGAAAGACAGTAACTGGCTCAAGGCTGCACAGCATGTTAATGGCTCTGTAGGGACTCCAGGGGCCAAGGTAGTTACTTACTACTCCCTGACTTTGAGGGGCACTGTCAAATCCTCAACCTTTGTTTTTACATCATAGAAGTCCTGGAACACCCGGCTGGTCCCAAAGATGGACTGCAAAGTCCCCTTTGGGATTGAAATCACTCGTGGCTTTGGGATAGTCTGTGAGGAAACCTTGTCAACCTCCAGAGCATCCTAGAACCAAAGGATAGCAGCTGGAGCAGGCCTCAGAAGCAGCCCTCATCCAGCTCCCCCACTCCCCAGGGTTTTACCTGGAGGAGGAGAGATGGAATGAGGCC